CCCCCCCCCGGGGACTCAGAGGAAGGTGAATATCGCGATATTATATCGACGGTCAACGATCCGCAAAAATGAGCTTCTCAGTAGCAATTCTTGATGGTCGTCACATGACCCCGATGGATCGGAGGGCCAGACATATTTCACTTCCTGACCAAGAGTTAGTATATATTATCGTAGCTTACGCTTGACGAACTGCATATTGCCCTTCTTTCAGCTTGGGACTGACTGGCCAGCTTAAACTTTCCAGGGGTTGGCTCTAGCTACCGTGGTGGGCCGCCAGGGATCCCTTGTTGTTCACAGCCACCTGCAGCCTTTCCCATCCAAACCCGGCCACATGCGTCGTGGGTCGCTGAGGTCAAAATCACTGAGACAACGCCGGGTCTTGTCGATTCCGTCCACATGGGGTGGGGGGGAAAAGGCATGGGAAAGCCTGGTAGATCTCAATCCTGGAGCCGGGGAAAAAGGTCGGACATCTCTTTCCTCAGGCCCAAAGACCTCTCATGCAAGTTGCAGGCCCTGACAACTCCTCTTTGTGTCCGCCTTCCGTCGAAGTCAAAGACGGGTTGGGTATTTCCCGCTTCCCGCTTGCATATTAGTTACATACGTACCCGTGTCTGAAAAGGAGCATATGCAAATGATGTACTCTCTGGTCCTCCATCACCTATCCTACTCGGTTACTTATCATGTCGATCGACGCCGGTCAAGGATCCACGACACCGGGTGATTTCGCCAGTCAATTTTGTGGGTCTGCCAAAGTCACCGCTAAACTCAGCAATGAATCGCAATGGCGCCTCCAGGCGAGGGCCTGATTCTGCAGTCCTTCAATCATCTTGGGGTGGGGGGTTGCGGAATTTTGGGGCTTCGCGACGTGCTTCGAGATGGAGAAAGTTAAATATCAAGATGCGTTGGCGGACGACCTCAACCATTCCCATCGTTCCTTTCGCTGTTCCGCGCGAAGTGTTCCGTTTTGTTTAAATTCGTTCAAGAGGGCAGGTTCAAGCCCTATGGTTCTGACTTAGAATTCGGCACGGTAAGAAAAAGGGAACTGATGTTCTCCGAAATTCGGTGTTTCCATCCTTTTTCTTTTGTGTGTCAATGAACTGGAAGTTGACCTAGGTCGGTCGCTAACCTAATTTTCTGTAGACCGCGACTCGTTTCGACAGAGGCCACCATATCGTGGTTCTGGCCAAATTGGTTCGTTCTGCAGACAGAAACAACACGGGGTTCCTTCGGCTTTGAATGGAAGTTGGCCCAACCACACTAAACTCATCTAAGGTCTTGAGATGCACGTCAGATAGTTCTGTTTGGTTCATGTGGATTGCCTAATGGCGTTCTTTCAACGTTGTAGACCAGGAAGAGGCAGCCCCCAAGGTTCAAATTAACCATCTGGAATCAAGATTGGTAAATTGGTAGACGATGAAAATAAGTGGGTTCAAATTCTTGTCATACAGGAGACTTAACCCAGGATCGGCGTAGACGAAGACAGTGTTCTGGATGGTTGGTTTTCGAGTGTGAAGGAAGGTCTGGAATCGGTTTACATGAGAGAATCCTTGGTAGATATCTTGAGTAGTTGTTTCTGTTGAATTGACAATGCTTGGAACCTAGCGGAGCAAACTTGGCGGTGTCCCGCTCCGACACCCGTATTCGGCAACACGGGTAGTCTGATTGCCATTGAAACAATCAGTTCAACCTAGCTTCGCTGAGGACTGAAGGTGCCCACCAATTGATTCTCTCCTTCAGAGCAGGCACAAGTTTTTGGGCAAGGAGTTGACGTGATCTCGGCCCCTCTAGGATCGGCGACTATCCTCAGAGCCAGAAGTTCGTCAAGGAAGGTCAAGCCTCTGATCTTTCCTTTTCCTCGAAAACACAGGCTTTGGGTCACATATTGAGAATCCCAACGTAGGACCCCCTCTCCCTCTTCCGGTCCCTCTCCCAATCCCTCCTCCCAGTCTGGAGGCTCAGGGGAAAAGTGATATTCGAAGCTGGTGTTGAACGGTATACCCCCTGCATCTAATGATGCATTTCATGTGTGGTTTGGTGAAGGGGTTGGGTTAGATATATCTCTCTTGACTCTCGACTCAATCGCCACAGGACGAGTGGAGCCGGTCAATGCTGGGCAAGTACGGGGATACGTGGCGCCGTTCAAGCCCCTTTGTGGCTCGAGGTGACAGGCGACTCATGCTGTTCGATGTTTGATATATCCAGGACAATCGATGCAAGACGCACATGATACCTTCTCACGCCCTCAACTGGACAATTTTGTTATGTGGTGGTAACTTTTGCCGATCATGTTGCTGATTGACCATTACCACCCCTGTGATATTGTTAGTCCGATGGTGGCCGAACTCACCATTCGCGTCGTCGATCTTCACTCTTTCAAACCACTCAAAGTTCTTTGAGCCCATTGCATTATTGGTCAACCACTGCATCTGGCTCGAGTGGCCTCCGATATCCCAGTCTCTCTCCCTCCGCCGAAGCCAAGCAACTATGCCATTCCAACAAGCAATTGATTTCGACGTCGATATCGACTTCGGCGAAGTTGTTGACTGCATCGATAATGTTCCAGGCAGACCAATTCTTGCTCGGCACGACGACTTCATACAATGGAGCCTCCCCTTTCACGAGTTCCGAGGCGCTGGACCGCCGAAGAGGACCGCATTCTGAGGGAAGAAGCCAACTATCAACGTAGGTGGAACCGTCCCCATCCGATTGGCGCCGACGAATTGTCGAGGCTGAGTGTGACCGATCGAGTAGTTGCCAATGGCTCGGTGAGGGACTGGAATAAGATTGCGGCAAAACTCCCAGGGCGGATGAATAAAGATTGTCGGAAGAGATGGAGCAAGATATCGGAGAATATTAAAAAGGGGAACTGGTACGACTCCTGGCCCGTTGTCACCAACTGACTGCGACAATATTGACGTCGACAACTAGGGATCCAGGAGAAGACGCTAAACTCAGAGAGGCCGTCACGGTAGTGGGTACACGGTGGGTAGAAGTCATTTCCTTCCTCTCGACAACGTCGTTCCGTTCTTGCTGACCAAGATGGGTAGGTGGACCCAAGTTGCTGAGATGGTAGGCACTCGACATGCAGATCGTATGTGGTGTTCCTTCCACCATATCAAAATGCGACTTCTTAAGAGTCGGCGCGTATGAAGCTGCTGACATGGTGTAGAATGTGCAAAGCGCTGGACACAATGCCTCGACCCCAATATTGACCACAGCGACTGGAAGGAGGAAGAAGACAATCGGTTGCTGGCACAAGTAGCTGAGACTGGTCGAGACTGGCGAAAGATTGCCGAACTGTTTCCCGGTCGCACCAAGCTGGGTCTCAAGAATCGGTGAGTTTTCGATCCCCAAGCGGATATAACCCTCTCTCAATATTGAGGTATCCTTCTCGCTGATAGACTGTTCAGCTACACTGCCCTCCGGCGCCGATTGCATTCTCACCAAGGCAAGCCAGGGACCAATGATAGACGTGCTCCCTCCGGATCTGCCAGTTCTTCACAAGTCCTCCAGTCAGCCACCGACAAGTTGATGCAAATGTCGGACGGTCTGCCCTCCAGTGAAGACGAAGTTTGTCAATCAGCATGTTCGACAAGGCCGATATCCCGTTCGTCGATGAGGAGCAGGAGATCACCACACCAAAGCAGCGCTTTCAATATGGGTGTAGAATCGTCGCCTGGGATTGGAGGGCAAACCGGACATTCAGGATCCGATGGATTTTTCTCGTATTTGCCCCCCTCGGCGGCGAATCAGAATTACGGGTATGATCGCCGGGATTTGAGCAGTTCAATGCTCAGTCAAGCCCACTTCTCGACCATGAACCCTTCCCATATGGAAGAACCCATGCTGACGCCACGAGCCAACTTTTTACCATCTTCTCTGTATGATACGTCGTTCCCTCTTAATTCGTCGAATCTTTCCAACGAGTGGCTATCCGGGTCGTCGTCAAATCAAAATATTGGGAGCAGTTTTCCATTCCCTCATGGATTTGACTGTTCACCACTGGGAGGAGGAAACATAGATCCATCATATCAGTCAGCGCAGCCTTCGTCGAGGAAAACCACGATCGTCCTCGAGGATATTGAAGAAACGACATTGAGCAAGGTCATGAACATTTTGATTCAGGAGAAAGCGAAAGTAAGGATGGAGACGACACATTCAGACCGTCCCACAGAACATAGATAGATCAAAGGGTGATGATAAACAGGATGTTGATACCCATGAAGTTATCATGCAACGACATCGTCTTGGGACCAGGCTCATGCATCATGAACAGCACCTTTCCTGACGACATAACAATGAAGTATCTAGTTAATATACCAGCAAATTGTGTCGAAGACGGCAAATGACCTTTCGACGAGGTCTTTGACAAAAGTCCTCCCTTAGACTTTGGTGGATCCAAGTAGCGAGTGAGGATGCCTTATAGTATGACTTGCAGCAGACTTTCCTTACCAGGACCCTTTGCCAAGCATGGTGCAAGTGGAGGGAGGCCCTGTCTCAATGGCGGGTGAACAACACGTCGGATGAATATCACTTACATCTTTGGTAAACAATATGTTCATCCTCCGATCGTGACTGGGGCGTCTTCCTCGTATCACTCTCCCAGGAAGTGGAGCACGTGTCGGAGGTCGGCGTATTGTCTTACAGAGGCAAAGCCCCCGATCAAGTCGTCATCTAAATTCAGAAGGTGTTGAGGCTTCCATCTCTTGGGCTCCCCGCGGTATAGAGCTCAAGGGCCGAGGCCAAACGTCGGATCCAGGACCCTGTTGCCATGTCAGATTTTTCGCTCAACACGGAGAAACCAAAGAGCGAGCTTAATAATCTCGCCGACGGGGCTCGACACGGCGCAGGGAATTCTGGATAGCACTGCCGTTGTGAGGAGGAAAGGAGGTTGGGAGACGCGTGACTATGCCTTACCAGAGCTCTGGGGGCACTCCCGAGGCCTACGACGAAACAAGACAGCCCCGAAATGGATTGCCGGAAGTCATTGGAGACTTCAAAAGTCGTCGCTTTGCCGTCGGAGTTGGAAGACGCAACGCCACATTAAACCCTCCCATGCGTCTGCTGGAATGTGGTTGAACCCCGAGACGCGGCAACGACCGAGAGGGCTGTTCAAGGTAAGTCTGCTGGTCCCCTGGCCCCTCCATAGGCTTCAGGAATTGTCTCCGATGGTGACAAATTGTGAAGTGCCGGAAAACGGTAGTGGAATATTGAAACGGAGTCGAGGTGAGTCACGTGCCAGCAAAAGGACGAAAATCTAAGCGAGACGCATACGAGATGCACCCGGTAGGCCTCCCGACCGTGGGCTGGCCTCGTATATATACTCACTCCTCCTCCGCCTTAGCGCGGCCGTCATCCTTAGGTTGTGTGACCGTCGCAATCTTGGAAAGCGGGGGAGATTGGGACACGGGAAAGAAAATGAAGCTTTTGGAAATGGAATGAATGGTGAGAAAACGATGCCGAAGCACAGACCCTGCAAGGGAGGGCAGCCCTGATGTCTAGAAAACGGCAAAATCCCCGCCGCTTGCCCGGAAATAGAAGATATCACACATTCGATATCAAGATTTGAAATCTTTCCGGGCCAACCGTCCCGAACATCGATTCATTTTTGACTCTTCTTCGTCTTCATCATCATCACCTCCTCCTTCTGGTTTGCAACACTCTTTCCCGGTCACAGATACAACTGGCTAAATCCGATTTTTGACGTATTCAATGGGCGGCCTTTCTCGTTGCTGCATTGTCGCAGATCGACTCCCTGGCAAGGGATGGAGGGCTCGCAAAAAGAGTGGGAACGACAGCGGTAGTCAACCCAATGGTATCGAGATCATAGTGATGGACTGGTCGCCATCACCGAGGCTGCGTCCAATGATCCCACGTCCTTTGTTACGTGCCCGGGCGATTCCTGGTCAGATGATTGCAAATCATGAATGATCCCTGCCAACAGAGGCCGCTCTGAGTATGCAACTCATGCCTGATCAGTTGGCCAACATGCTCGTTGGAAACTCTCCCAACGTCCCAGAGTCAACTACTGTCGAGAATACAAACAGGAAACCGTGCGACGCAAAAAAGGTGGGCTGTAAAATCGTCCGACTCCCTTCGGCGAATTCCTCAGCTGAGCATCATACCTCCATTCACCTCGAAGACCTGCCCAGTGATAAACTCGGTTTCCGAGCGGGCAATGCAGTTTATCGTGCGCGCGACATATTTCGGTTGTCCGTATCTCTTGACACATTGTTTTTCCAACACCTTGCCGGAGACGAGCTTTGAGTTTGGTAAACTCCAGGTCGTCTCCGTCAAGATCAGACCAGATGATACCACATTTGCCGTGACTCCAGGACCGGCTTCCGCAACAGTTGTTCGTGGAAACGCAGCTACAGAGCTCTTGGGCGCCGCACAAGCGGCCAAACCTGCTTCTGGCTGCAAGCAGTACCAGATGCTGTGTTCACGATCCTCCCGTATCCGGCCTTTTGCATGTGCAGAAACGCCGGCACGAGTCAAATAGAAGCAGCGGCCCGTATTGACGCTCATGACTCGCTGATAGACTTCGGTGGATTGCTCGAGCTGTGGGCAAAAGGTAGAGATGCCTGCAATATGCACCAAGGACATTGATCATGCCTAGCGATGAGACAGCTTCATTGATCGTTGAATTGACTTGGTCTTCTGCGGCTATGTTCACCACTTGGTTCGTGGCCCTTTCCCCTTCCACCTGGTGCTGATTCAGACGTGATCTTCGTCTCTGCAGTCTTCAATTGTTCCCATCCCAATCCACCAGGGCCACTGTCGCTCCTTGAACGGCAGAGAGAAGCTGTCGTGTACCCAACCCCTCTTGCCTCTCCAGTCACAAGGGCGACTTTGCATTGATGATTTTGTCTAGAATATTATGGCAATGTGGTTTTTTATGCTTGGCCCCTTATCATTCTTTTTAGCCTTGCAACTTCATGGCTGACTACTGTATACATATCCTACCTGTCGGTCACCGACCGATGTTGTGGCATTGTCGGCGTTGAGAGTTTTCTCCTTTCTCCCAAAAAGGATTCCTGGAGCTCTCTGTCGTCACAACGGATACGAATCCATACCATCTTGTCATGTTCGGTGGCAATGAATCTCATCTGCTCAGGTAGACTGGAGTGTCCCATACAAACCCGGATTCTCAAAGGTTTTCGCAAGTCCCCTGTAGACTCGGCGACTTCTCAGTAAGCATCATAGGCGCCCACCTTAGTGTTAGGGCTGTTCTAGGGCCGCATAGGAATCCATCGGTCGGGGCTAAGCACTTCGTCGGAATCCCGGTCACCCCTTTTTTCTCCGGGCGATGTTCTACGTAGGCTAGATGGCGGCAATACCCATCACGCCCAGAAATGGTACACAGAGCTATCTGGCGTTTCGACTCAGCACAGAATATCCTTTTCCTCACTTACCAATAATTGTCTTTACCCTAGTCCAGCTGCCCTTTATCTTCGAGTGATCCTCTGCAAAGATGACAGATGACGAGGACTCCAACTGTAGTGACACCTTTTCTCATTATCCTAAGTAACCCACTCGAGAAGCAGGTAGCCGGAGTAAAAAAAAAAAAAAGGAAAACGAAAGATAACTCGTCACAAGAGAAACAAGCAGCATGAACAAGCTTGAAAATCACATCGTACGACTCAACCCTTGGACCCTTTGAGCAAGACCAAGTCTACTGGAACGGCAATCTCGTCTCGATAGATATAGAGGATACCCATGATGCAGAACCAACGGGGGTCGCATTAGAAGATACTCCAAGAGCTGGATATATTCTTTTAAATAACGGACGGCACACTACCTTGAATTCACTCTCAAGAACCAAAGTCGGGTCGACTCAAGGGTGTACCATCATCCCTCCAGGCCCACCGGCTCTGTCTACTCAACTGTACTAACGGAAAAGGACCACCAAAAGTGAGACTGCCCAATCAACTAGTCGCAGAGGAAGGTATAAGTGAGGCCCGATTGCTTCTATGGAACAGGCCACATTTGTTCGCCGAAAGGCCCTCCAAAATACAGGTCGAAGCACCATTGGTTTTGACGGTATTGTCTGGATGACCCCCTTGTCCTTCCTTTGGTGTCGTCTGAGAGCCGGTAAATGCAGGCCCCGTGGCTCGAAGCTGAAGCTCTCTTTCGCGTTCGTGGTTACGCGAGATAGGCAAAGCATGAGAACACGATCTGACGGGAGCGGATGCAGCAACGGGCGTCTCGTTGGACGGAGTTGAGGAACGCCAGGACAGGTCGATGCTGATAAGATCCCTCCTCGTCAAATTCAGGATTGTTGGTGTTCGACATGTGTATAGAGAATGTATTAGAGCTGTAAAAGATCTAGAGAGCTTGTTGTCGGACATTCTTGCTGACCAGAAATAAGGCTCGAGACCACCTCCAATACCTACACCCGAGAGTAATGAACGTCGCATGAAGACAGGGGACAGCAACATGTCTCTAAAGTGTTGATGCACTACCAGCAGCAGAAAGCATTGCCCAAGCCATGGCTGTGGTTCCACTTGATCAGAAGAGGAACAACGAGACCTGGATGGCGCAGGATCTGCAGTTGAAGTTCCTCAGGAGGATCTCGCCATCGGAAGTTCGAGTATGGGAGGCGAGGCTGGCCCGTAGCCTGCCGAACGGCCAGTTATGGTCGGGACGTTGGTCGGGGCGGATGACACACCTTGCGAGAAGAGGTAGTGGTAGAATAGGTCGTAGAATCTCTCGAACCATAGCGTAGTTAAGCATGTCGCCGACAATGCTCAGCCTCAAGCGACTAGGTGCGATCCATGCGGCAAAGGTGAACGGTGAGGCTCTTCCACACCTGCGCCAGGATCCGCGTGTCTGGTCTTACCATGAGAGGGCGAGCTCTCCTCCCATTTACAAGTACTATGACAGGAAGAGCAGTTGTATAAGGGCCCTATACGGAGCAGACATGGCCGGGCACACAGTCGCAGGCATTGAGTCGAATATGGAGACTGACCACAACGCCGAATGCCTTCGCGCCTATTCGAGTCCGAGCATCGAGGTCGCTCGGTGCAGGGCAGCAAATTTTGAGCCGGTCCTCAGTGTAGAGAATCTGCGTCACCTCCGCGTGAAAGGTGTGACAAACCAAAAGCAATTTCGATGGGAGAGCAGGTGTTGGATAGAGACGAGAGGTTTCCATAGGCGACGACGTTACAGATGGTTGCTCTGTGCAACAATGTAGCATTCGTGTGTCTATAAAAGGAGCTTCAACACCTCGACAAGTAGATAGAGAACAGAGCGCTCCTTCATCTCAAGTTGCACACAAAGTTTGACACAAGGTTACCCTGAATGGTTGAATAGTAGTGAGAGCTCTTTTATTGGGAAAAGGGGTTATTACCCATATGTAGAATATAAGGGCAGAAATAAGAGAAGAAAAGGGGTCAACTCAACGTGTATATATACCAACAACCTGACAGGACCGGTTGCGAAGTAGACAGAGCATTCAATATATCTGAAATTGTTCCCCAGTTTGACAGTAGCTTATTACCACTATCCTTAACGCGAAGCATTAGGACCACTCAACAACATTAACTTAACCTTTGGTGAAATTTCCTCTACGCCTAGACTCCTACTTAATATAGAATCTATAAGGCAGGCGGTCCACATATACGCAAACAAAAAATTATTAAGAAAATAAAAGGCCCCCCTCCTATAGTCGATCTCTGACGAACTTATAGATGGGGCGCCGCAGCCAGTGAAAGCTTCAGCCACACAAGTTTAACTGCAGAAGAGTTTAAATCAGTGACCTCCCAACGGTATAAACAAGACGACATCATCAACAATCACTGGCTGGAGCATTACGTTTACCCATCTAGGGCACCTAGAAAGCTAGGCCGGACAACCCTCTTACCTTACCTATGATCGAACACTAGTAAGGCCCCTCAATTCTATCGGTTCGACTGCAACTCGAGTATTTTACCACTCGGTTACGTCCTTGATAGGTCAACCACGATTCGGTGTCAATTTTGAAGCAGTTTTTTCGCGGTGTAAAATATAAACTAGAATTTTTTTTTTTTTTTTTAAAAATTCCGCCTGGTTAGGGCTTGGCGTTGTGTGGCGACGCCAAGAGCGACGTACTGGCCAATAACGTAAAGCCTATGGCTTGGCAGTGTCACGTGGGCACCTCCTTGCCGCACTAGATCATGTGGCCGGTGGGGCACTCTACTCGATAGATGTCGATCCACGCATCGGATCCAGTCTGTGGACCAAGTGCCCCCAGGCAGGGGGGCAACCCTATTCGATATCCTCGACGTCGAGATGATCTATGGATTGGATCCGATGGGCCGTGGTATTTCATCGGATCCAGTCTGTGGACTAAGTGCCCAGAAGGGGGGGCACCTGTGAGGGTTCTAGGGCAGGAATTCAATCAATGTATTCCAGCTAACATCTAGTTCTAGGTACGATACGATACGATATTCATACACCCTGTGCGGGCTGAGCCCATAGGGGACTAGCTACTATACTACCGATGTCCGTCGGTTGATCCCCGGCTACTATGTTCAGCTCCATCGAGTCCTCGGCCAGGTCATCAAGGGTGCTTTCCTGAGTATTGCTGGTCCTTCGCAACTCCCCGGCTCTGACTCTCCTTCTTGCTCGAGGCAATCATTCTTCCCCGGCACTCGTCCGCAATCGACCAGTTGCCTTCACGAAGTCAATCGTGGCCTTAATAGTTTTCATGTTCACCTTCCACTTCTCCCTCGGCCCATCTAGTCTTTCGTTGAACCATCCTCCAAGGAGGTAGGAAACATCGCACCATCTTTCCGTCGCCGTTTGGAGGTACCGTCTACGTCCCGCTGCCCAGTTCTAGGTACAAGATGTTGCACGAACAGAGTCAAGATTGGGATGCTACGCAGGAAGTGCTGAAGAATCCCTGAACACGTAATCCTTGGCACGTAGTCCCGTGACACCGGGACCTCGCCATCGGATCCAATCCATGGACCATGTGCCCCGATGAATCGGGTAATGTTATTCTGTACACCACATTTTGTTATTCTGTACACCGCTTTTGATTGGTCCGGATTTTTATTTTTCCGGTTATCTGCGCAGTTCGAAGATACGTGATGTCACAACACCTAAGTCTGCCTATATAGAATGCAGAAATGATGGTTAACGATGGTATCCTCTGCACGGTCGATACCTCGTGCTGACTAAGGTAACAAACCAGCGCCCATAGGCTTGGGAGGACCGCTCATAAGCCGGAGGGGGAAACCGCCCATGAACCGGGGGGAAACCGCCCATAAGCCGGGGGGCAACTGCCCCGCTTATGGGCGGTTCCCACCCAAGCCTATGGGCGCTGGTTTGTTACCTTAGTCAGCACGAGGTATCGACCGTGCAGGGGATCTCTACACAAATCCGGCTGTGTAGGCCACAATAATTTACAAAGTATACAGAGAAGCTCAAAATGCACGGTACTTATCTACCAAGGAAAAGGGAATCAAATGTGTTTATTGCTTCGCAACCACCTATAACGGGGAGAGTTTAACGCGTCACCCCTCCACAGCTACGCCACTTACTAGTGTTTTCTCGCCATCGCCGGGCCAACGGCAACAAGCTCTGTTAGCGCGGTGTACAGAATAACAGGATGAGAGCGT